CCGCTCGACAAAACGAAAGACTCAGGCTGCGAACTTGTTCTGGTGTCAAGTCTATTCGCTTCCTGCCTTAATGGAAACTTTCACTATCCCGCGATAATAAACATTAGCCGTCGTTTCATTAAACAAAATCTCAGGAAATATATTTTTTATATACATATCTCTTTTTTCCCGTTTTTTTTGCACTCAATTGAAGATTGGCCCTGGGGCGCTATTGGCAATTGGTTTGCCGAACAATACGCCATAGATTATTTAACGATTATTATGTGGTGCTATAGCATTTCTACCATTGCTTTCTTCTTGCCTTTCTTTCTGTCTATTTTGTCTTAGCCCAGCAATTACTTTTGGCTTCTGCTTATCCGCCACAAATATCTAACTTGGCTCTAAGCAGCCTTTTGTTGGCCTTATCACAAAAAAGTCAGGCATTCATTGTTTCTTTATTTTTTTGGCCATGGGTGTGTGTGGGGGGAATTACATGAGCCATTGATGAACTGATATTCGGCACGTGCCGTTAATGAAGTCGATATTGCTCGACTTTAGAAAGCACATCTCGTGTAAAGACTATCATATTTTGGATGTTTTTTTCGGGAATTACAGCACCAATTAGATTGCTATCCGTGGATAGCCTTTGTGTGGGCCTCGATTTGACTTTTTATAACCCCATTCTGGTCGAATGGCATTTAGGCATTTAATTTATCGTTTCCCGCAGTTCAAATGCCTTTGTTATTGATATGATTTGGACCCATTTCTTACGGGCTTTATGGAGCGACATTTATGAGCGACTTTATGCGCAGCTGTCGCAGCCGCCAAGATCGAACGCAAAATGGCCAATTTTATGGCTCAATATCGGGGCTGGCTAAGAAAATGCTTCGCATTAATAGAGGTAAAAACAGTCAGATAAACAGTTGGCAATTTGACATCTTTTTTATATAGTTATTTTTGGCATATTGATGGTCGTTAATAGATATAGAGGCAAATTGAAAAGAAATGTCAGCCGGATGAATGGTGAACGGGGTTTGCGGTAGACTCGGCTCTTTAAAATGCAAAACGGCCTCCGAAGTTGGTTAAAAAAGACAAGCAACAAAAAAACACAAAACAATAAAAGTAACAACGAATATAATGGAACATAAAATTTATTAATTTTTATGGGCTTTATTTTTTTTTGTTTTCTGGGGGAAGGTATGTATATTTGTTTGCTTCCCCGTTTGTTTCCATTTCTCACAACAAGTGCCAAATTTGGTCTGAGGTTCTTGACCACGAACACACGCACGTGCGATGGACTTTGTATGTAATTGTATCCGAACGAAAACGCATGTGTGCGTGCGTATCCGAGTGCCAGTGCTTTATTTTGCATATTTTGTTCGATTTTAAATGAAGTCACGTTGCACTCGTAAAGTTGATATTTATGTTTGTCATTATTTTTTATGCTTTCTGCTTGTTTTTCATATAAATATGGCCTTTTTGTGTCTTGTTTTTTGGGACCCACTACATGTGTAGATACTTGTTTTTCGTGGCGGTGGCGTTAAACAATAGTTAACAACTTTATTTGTGCACTTAACGCTCTTGGCCATTAAAAAGCCAAGCAACTCCTCACGTTTCGGCTGCCATTCACCTGAGAAATGCCAAAGCAGCAACCTCAGTTGCAGTTGCCGTTGCAGTTGCAATGTTGCAGGTTGCTGTGTTGCTGTTTTGCTGTGTTGCTGGTTGCATAGTGCATCTGCGGCAGAAGCCGCCACCAGTCAACGCCATCGCCTGTCAGTCCACATAAAAGTCAGAGATGGGGCTATGAAAAATCACCAAAACGAATCGCTAAACAGCCGCAAAATGCACTCGAAACGGGGCATGCCGAATTCGAGACGCGGAAGATGAGAAAATCCACTCAAACTGTCCAAGTATTGCCGGTGAAAACGAAGCCTTTGTTTGCCTTTTGAGATTGCCGACAGGTGGAATTGCAGGGAAAGTGGAACGCGGGGTGTTGCCTTGATAATAAATTATTGTAAATAATTTTACAGAAATATTTAATGTTATTTCTTAAGCAAATAATATATATATATTAATTTAGTTTTACTTTTATTAAAATGACAATTGGTTAAACCTTTTATTGACGTTAGAAACTATAACTGATGTTTACTTATTAAATAAACTGAAAATAATTTACAGATTCTAAAGAATATTTAAATGCTATTTCTTACAAAGAAAAATATATAAATATAGTTTTGTTTATATTTAAATGACAGTTAATAAAACGTTTTTTTACAGTAGAAACAATAATTTTTATTTAATTATTAAACAGATTATATGCATTCAAGCATTGCACTTGTAAAACTATCATAAAAACCTCAATTTAAAGTTAGCATTAAAAAATAAATTCTAAAACCTCTGTAACTCATGAGTGATAAATATTTCTACATGTGACAAAATCACACTTTGACCATTTGCAAATCATTTTGGAAGCCGCTTGAAGTTTCAGCTTACAAATCATAATTATGGCCACCGCCGAAAAACAAAAATACTTCCATAACCAAGCAATTGACACCTTTACAATTGGGATTGTTTAAACTTATGTCTCTTTTAGCTATTAAATCATAATTATGGGCACTGCCATAAACCCAAATAGTTTCCTGCTCAAGCAAATGACACCTCTCTAAAAGTAATTCCAAAAGCAATTGACCCTTTCAGTAATTATAATTTTTCATAGTGAATAAATCACGATCTGAACTGCTGCAGCTGCAGCTTAACAACACTAGGCACTCTAAAACCCAATTCACCAACACTCCAAATGGGTCAGATCAATAAACAATAACATAAAATGGCCAAAGACTTCAACGCAAAATGGGCAAATAACTCACAGACGAAAGCGGCACAAACCGGCCATTTGAACTCCCTTCTCCAGTAAAATTTATGCTAATTTTGATGTGTACATAATGCCCATTTATTGACGCTGCCGTCAGCAGCGATTATTGACAACGGCATTTTAATCCTCAAAAAAAAAAATCATAAGTAAATGAAAATACTTTGGCGTGCCTGTGACAGTGCAAAGAAATTGAAATTATAAGTACCTGAGCATAATGTCCAAAAGAACAGAAAAGTTCATAATTGAAATTCATGTTTGTGGTTCTGGTGGCTGTCACACAATTACCGTTTGGCTTGGTGCTGCCTCTCAAAGTCCAATCGCAGCCACTTAAAGATTCCGCGAGGCTTCCGCAGACGACGCTCCATGCATTCTTATGAGGTCATTTGCGTGGGGAGCCCACTAAATGCGCCCTAGCTGCCCAACTAACTAACCCACTCCACGGAAAAAAACCCCCTGAACATTTGCCAAGTTGGAAAAGTCGGTGGTTCGTGGAAAACCACAGCGGAAAATGGCAGCTCCAGACATTACTCATACCAACCGCAATGAAACACAAAAATCTATTAAAATTATCACACGCCATGTTGACCTCAGCGGCGAGCAAACATTACTCAAAAAAACCTAAAACCAAAAATAGAAATAAAAAATAAAAACAGTACCGTGTGGGTACTATGGCTGAAGTCAAAAAAAAAAAGAAAGAAAATAAAGCCAGAGCAGCCAATAAAATGAAAAATGCTGGCGCAAAAATATTGCAGCTAAAATAATTTGCCACGCTCGTAAATTTTCAGCTCATAAAACAGCAACGAGGCAACATTTGTTGTCGGAGTTTCGAAGTTTCGAAGTTTTGTTTTGGGGGAGAGTGAGTCAGTGTCGGGCATTTCTCGAATTTGAGTCAGATTTTTCTGCTATTTTTTATGGCCAGCCTTCGCCGATCGACAGTTGGATGTGATATATGGGCCCTTGGCCCATATCATTTGCATATGAAAAGCCAGGTATAAAAAATTTCACTAATTTGCCAAACGATTATTATGTTTGCCTAAACCACCTTAAGTGTTGCCATAAATTAGTTCCCTAAAAATAAAATAAAACAAAAGGCAATCAAATGGATAAACAAAGAAAATGTTTCAAGTAACAGCACAACTATTAATAAAAAAGCCTAAGAAATTCCATAAAAATTATAGTTGTTGAAAGAAGTAAACTTGATGTGTAAATCATCTACAGAATTAGCAATTTGTAGGCCTCAAGTCTGCAAACAAAAATAAAAAGGCAATCTTTGCATGACAAAGGGCACAGATTTAGCGCGTTTCTATTTGTTCTCGTTTGCTCAGCTCGCGCGAAGAGATATTCAAATTCGACAAATACCCCACTCAAAACGAATGACTTAGACAACGAACTTGCTTGCATTCCCCTAAAAGCGCATGAGCATTAAGATCCCGATCCGATCCGTGCGCTGGACAGGCAATAAAAATAAAAATCAAAATCGAAATAAAATAAAAATCAAACGACAAATCTACAAACAACAAATTTCGGTTCCAAGCAAAACGAAATTGAAGCGAAGAATGCAATAAAAATAAAGCCAGGGAAGAGAAATGAACGTAAAGATAAGACTCTCGTCGAATGATTCGGTCAGAAGGGAAGTGGACAGTAAGCACGAGATTGCTCAAGTGGCAGCTCAAAGTGTTGCAGGGCGATAAAAGTTTAATCAAAATTTATGGGAGGGAAGCGGCAGAGAAGCAGATAGAGCTGGACGCCAAAGAAGCAGCAGAAGAAGTAGAAGGCTTGGAGCTCTGATTGCCCAATGGCCCATATAACACACGAGCGAAAAAGCTTATGTCTTTTTACTTAAAATCTTATAAAAATGATTATTCACTTAGAGATCAAGGGCATATGCTGACAAACAGTTCTTCAAGAAATTTTATAAATTATATTTCGAATGTACAAATGTATAATGTATGTATAAAAAAAATCATATACTCAAAATCATACAAAATTGTTCAAATTTGTATATAGTTTTACTTTTAACTATCTAACAAATAAATATTTAAAAAATATCTACATATAATATTTAACCCTTGTTTTTTTTTGTGTGTTTTTTTTTTTTCGATTGCTCATAAGTTCTCTTTCCATTTTCTTTCTCCCGTTTTTCCTGCAGTCCCCGGAACTGGACTATCGGCACGAGCTGATGGGACGTCTGCATAAAATCGAGCCCGCCGATGTTGAGCTTGAGGTTTTGGCAGCCGCTGCAGCAGCCACTAATAACAACAACAACAACAACAGCAGCAGCAGCAACAACAATCACAGCAGCAGCAACAACAGCAGCAACAACAACAGCAGCAGCAACAGCAACGGCAGCCAAACACCCACAAACAGCAGCAACTTGGCAAGCTCTAGCCATCAGCAACATCAGTTCCACCACCACCTGCACCACCATCACTCGCATCAGCACCACCACCAGCACCACCATTTGCACCAGCAGCACCACCACACGCACAGCTTGCAAAGCGGCGAAAGTGGTGCATCGGAGGCGTGGCCCCACTACGCCGGCGATGTTGCCGTTGCACATGCACAACAGCAACATCAACAGACGCAGCAGCAACATCAGCAACTTCAGCCCGCCGGATCACCGAATTCCAACTCAAATGGAGCCTACGGCTGTGCCCCACTCTACGATGGTGCGCCCTACGATGTGGCTCTTGCCTACGGCGGTGGTGCGGTGGTGGTTGCCGCTTCGGGTGGCGCGACCTCCAGCGACAAGGAGTATCTATATGGTGGGTAAATCGAGGGATGGCGGAGGGGGGATACTGGGAACTGGCAACTTTGATGGGCACACAAAATTACACGCATGGTGAAATCTCGCAAGTCAATAGCAAAATAGAGAAAAAAACAAGCGATGTTTGCGGCTCGTTGCCGAAATGTGAAATCTGAAACCAAACGCCCAAAAAACAACGCAGACAAGCCGGAGACCCTGCTCACAAAACAGATTGAGGTCGAGACGAACAGGCAATGAGCTTTTGTTACATTTGAACAAGCTAAGAACATTTAAATATGATAATTCATTTAACAAGCTTACAAATTTTGTATTAAACAATAAAAATGATTTTCCATTTTGTAGGTTTTAAACAATCATAAAGAGAAACTCTTATATTAGCTTTCTTTATGTTTTTAACTATGGAATGATGTAATGTGAATTGATCTCTAAAACAAAACATGTTTTGTACATAGTAGGGGATATTAAAAGTTTTAGAAGCTACAAATAATTGTGTCCAAACTGAACAAAATAATTGTTATACCAAAGTGATTACCAAACACTTAAATTTTTTGTTGAACAGTAAATGGTGTACGTCATTCGGAAGTTAAAAATGTGTTTTTTAAAGACCATTATGATGGACTTATATTTTTTTTTTGATTTACTAGTCTCCCTGCCATCAATCACTGAACCCAAGCCTATCAATAAACCCCTCTGCACCCTAGACGAAAAGTTTCAATTCTGATTGTGGACCCCCCGCTCGCTAAATAGTCACTCTAAAAATAGTCAAACAAATGAGCAGCTGTTTAGAAATTTCATGCATATGCGAGATTTCATTGTTTGCATTAATAATTCCCCATGCCGGCGATTTGCATAAAGTGTTAGCAGGCGATTATAAAGAGCTTTTCTCTCCCAATTTTTTTGACTGCACATATAGAAACCAAAAACAAAGAGGCTCTCTACGCCGATCCGCTGGACGATCCCTACCAGCGACCCGTGCTCTGGGACGATATTACTACCTCAATCCAAAATATCGATCCGGAGAATGCGCTCATGCTGAGCAGTAGCAGCAGCAGCAACAACAACAACAACGGCAACAGCAGCAACACTGGCGAAGCTGCAACATCGCAATTGCCGCAGGTCAAGATGGAGGCAATCGATGAGAGTTTGCTGGAGACTTTCTCGACCCCATTGCTCAGTCCCCTGGAGATAAAAACTGAGAAGCATCAGCAGCAGCAAAAGCGACAGCAGCAACAGCAGCAGCAACACCAGCAGCAACAGCAATACCAGCAGCAACACTATCAGCAACATTATCAGCAGCAGCACTTGTACCAGCATCATCCCAGTTTGTCGCTGCCTGGCTTGCCACCCGCTGTCGAGATGGTGGAGTTGCAACTGCAACAGCAACAGCAGCAGCAGCAGCAACATCTGCAACACAACACCAGCAACAGCAGCAGCAGCAGCCCCAAGCTGGCGACCCCCGGCGACAACAGCAGCAGCAGCAACACCTCCTCCTATCAGCAACAGTACGCATCTCAATTGGTCGCCGGATCGGGCGGCGGCTATCTCAACGGTAGCACCAGCAACTCCTACGGCTACAGCTGGCACAGCAGTCAGGTGAGTGACGGACATTGGCATTGCAGTGCTTGCAGTTGCAACATCTGCGATTTGCCATAAAACAAACACTAAAAAAAAGCAACTCACATAGTAGGCAAGAAATCATAGAGCAAAAACACCGTTTTACAAAACAAATATACCAAAACAAGTACTTAGACATGTATAATTTTATTCTAACTATTGATAAATAAGTATATTGATTGTTGACCTCTAAAAGCTAAATTATAAATTTATTTTCTTCAAATTGCAATTTAATTATATCAGTTTTAAAAAGAAGATCAATTGTTGTTGTCGGTTTAAGAGCTAAATTAATTTAATATATAAAAAAATATATTTTATTTTCTTCAAATTGCAATTTATTTTTATTATCTGTATCTTATAAATTATTTGCAGATTTGAAAAGTAAAAATAAAATATATTTTAAATTTTTCCTTACTTTAACCCCATAGACGTTTCACACCAAATACCAAATACACCCGCCATCGGCGGCTGCCTCAGCCACCGCCTCCGCCACTGCCACGCCCACAGCTCAACTCGGTGCTCAACAGCAGCAACAGCAACAACAGCACCAGCAGCAGCAACTGCAGCAACTGTGTCCCCCCGCGGCGCCCAGCACCCCCTCCGCCTCCTCCTCGTCCATCTCCTCATCGTCGGGGTCCTCCGCCAGTCGCCACATGTTCGTGCCACCTTTGACCCCGCCCAGTTCGGATCCCGGCAGTCCGGGCAGCTCGATGGTGGCCGCCGCCGCCGCAGCAGCCGCCCAACGTCGCACCACCCCACCACCGCCCTACCAGCAAGGTCATGTGCTGGGTCTCATTAACCCACCACCGCCCACGCTGCAACTTTTGGGTGGCGGTGCAGTTACCAGCGCCACTACTACTTTGACCACTTTAACACCCGCCAGTGCCATTCAGCAGCAGCAGCTGCAGCAACAACCACAGCAGCAGCAGCAGCAACAGGTGCAACAGCAACAGCAGCCACCCCCACCCCCCGCTCTTCGGGGGGCGGGAGGCGTGGCCGTCATTCGCACCACCAACCGGGCACGGCGGCCCACATTGCCAGTTTAATGAGCGTGCGCACGGTGCGCTACAACCGCCGCAATAATCCCGAGTTGGAGAAGCGACGCATACACCACTGTGATTTCGTGGGTGAGTAAAATACATTTTACATTTGCACGTGATAAACAATAAAAATACTTTGTCAAAAATTAAAAACAAAATAATTACTCTTATATAATTTATAATATTTAAGCTTAATTTCGTTTTTTTTTTTTCTGTAATTTAAATATTAATGAATCTTTCCGAAACTTTTAAATTATATTTATTTATAATTTGTATTAAATAAAATGCATACTCTTATTCATATTAAACACAATTTATTGCAAGAAAATAATTGACAAAGACAATTTTTAAACTGATAACAAAAAAGAGTTAAAAACAGTCTTGATAGTAATCTTGATAAAATTTCAAACCAAATCAAAAGAAAATTTTAGAGCTCTTTACGTTTTACCTCAATCCATAAGATTATCTTTAAACAACTGGGAATGTAATGCTTTTGGAGTGAGACAACTTAAAATTTCTACAAAATACTTAGACGATTTAAAAAGTAAACAAAAAGTGTACTACATACCAATAATTGAGTTCCCATCTTGTCGAGATATCTGGAGATGCGCTTCCTCATCTTGATTTTTGATTGTTAGTCGCTGCATGCCACCATATCGTTTATCATTTGGCGCGTTTTGCGACACTTTTCGTAACAAAGTCGCCTTCCGCCCCCTTTTCCGCCCACTTTCAGCCCGCCAACTCCACTCCACGTGCGATCCTCATTGCGCATGCGTGCCGCGTTTTTCCAATCGGCATTTATTTATTCTCTATTTATCTATACATTTATTTATTATCTTTCTGTTTTCTTTTCTTCGTTTTCTTGCTGTGCGACTGACAGTTCCCGCTGCCAAGTTTCTAAAGTTTCTGGTGTCGCAGTCGCAGTCGCTGTTGTGGCGCTTTTTCAATTGCCTTCTTTGTAATTCTAATTAGCCAATTGCCATATTTATGTAAGAGCTTCGAGCCACCTTCCACCTTCCACTTCCACTGGGCTTTTGTTACAGTTGCATGTTTTTTTTTGTTATCTGGTTTTTTAGCCTGGCCAAGTGCGTTTTCAATGTCAGAGGTGGGCGACAGATCGTTGAGTCAGCGATGATCAATCAATTGTAGTGCTGAAAGGAATCAAAATACAGAATATTGGAATACAACTGTACTCATAGAAACAATCTTTTCACTAGAAAAAAAATTAAAAACAAAAATTAAAAAATTAACAAAAATATGTTATTTACACTGTGGCTTTTTAAGTTTTCTGAAATCCATGGCCTTTTTTTTGAGTCTAGGTAAACCAAAATGTAGTAAATTTAAACTTATTAATACACACATCTTGAATTAAAATATTGTATGATTTAAGCTATTAATATTTCTTAATTGGCTACTTATTTTCTTTTTTTTTTATCATAATAATTTAATTTCAATTGAACATATAAATGGAAAAAAGTCTTTAAAATACCTAATAGCACTTTTGGGATAAAAGAGTCTAAATTTAGAGTGGCTTTGAAACACTTTAAGATCTCGCAATATCGATAGCTTATTCTCGAATCGAAGATGAGATCACATTAACCGCAGTCACCACAGCGAACCGCTTGGAATACTATCCATTAGCTATCGATGGATCACTATTACGGCCCAAAAAGCACTTAAGGCGACGCTGTCTGGCATACATCTAAAAATCGAAAAATAGAAAAATCTAACAATCCAAACTCCGTCCATTCAGTCCGTGTCCCAATGTCGCTTGTTCGAGCAGACTACAGTACGTGCGTTGCCACTAATAAATAATTGACAATTGTCTGACACGTTGGCCATGGCCATTTTGAGGTAACTGCAAAGCAACGCAGCCAAAAGGCTGTCCAAATGAAGTTATTATGCCATAAGCGCACGCATCAGACAGTGAGTTATGTCTGGAGTTCCTCCGATTTTCGGTATCTCCAACTGTCTAACTGTCGCCGATCGTTGCAAGTTGCAGGTTGCTTGTTGCCAGTGGTTGCTGCTGCAAGTTGCTAGTTGCCAGTTGCAAGTTGCTGGCTGTCAGCAAAATTCTTCGCGGCATTGTGTTTCGTGGCACGTTTAAAGGCAGCTTTCAATTAGAGCCGTACGTGCGGGGATCCCCGGGAAATCCTTTTTTGGACTGCGAAAGGGGCACTAAAATGCCTCATAAATGTCACTCGCTTTGCGGCATTGCAAGTTGCTAGTTGCAAGTGAATTTCGTGCAACTTTCACCCGCTAATTAAAGGCCCACGCCCACTGACCCACTTTGTGGGAGCGGCTCTTCTATCTGGATTCGAAATTCGAGGCTCCCCTATTGTGTTATCTGATGTTGTGAAAAGTGAGCAAGTGCACTCAAAAAACGTTATAGCCTTCAGATGCCCAAAGCTTTTAACAATTATAGGCAGTAAACGATTTTTAGCTGCGGCTTTAAACAGGAAATCAACTATAATACATTAAAGTTTATATATTTAAGCTTCGAGGCGCAAAAAAAGTAAATATGGTCTTGAATCCAAATTAAAAACTTCATTGCTTTAAACGTAAGGTATTATTTATTTTTCGATTTAATAGATAAAGAGATTTTCTTGAAATTATTTTTATCAGATTTTTGAACTATTTATAATCAAACAGCTTTCAAAACTATTTACTTAGTAAAGGAAGTTAACAATTATAGGCAGTTAAAATTTTAGACTGCGGCTTGAAACAGATAATCAACTGTTATACTTAAAAGATTAATATATTTAAGCTTCAAGGCGCAAAAAATGTAATTATGGTTTTAAAAATCAATTTAACAACTTAAAATGTTTAAACATAAGCTATTATTTATTTATCGATTTAAAAGGGCTCTTAAAAAATTTCTTACAAAATATTTAGAAAAATTAGTTGAATTAGCTTCATCATAAGCTTTTAAAACTACTTTTAAAATTTCCATTTTATACCAATAAGATTAATATAGAATATGCAGCTTGGACTGAAGGGTTTTTTTTTTTTTAATGACTTAAACAATTATCTACTTAGAAAAGGCCTTTTTAGTAAAAAGATTTTACATAAAACTTTTCCAAAATTGCAAACTTTAAAACTGCAATAATTTAATAAAAAGAAACCTTGTTTTGATGTTTTTCCATTTATTTTTTTTTTTTAGGTTGCTCCAAGGTCTACACGAAGAGCTCGCATCTGAAGGCCCATCAAAGGATACACACGGGTGAGTTTTCCCTTGAGCAAAGATCCCATTTAAATCAAAAACCACCCACTTGGTGACCCCGTCTATGACCCGCTGTCTCAGTTTGGTCCACACTGCGATCCTTCAGCTCGCATGTGGGCTGAGCACCACTGAGCAAAAAAAACGGAACCAAGTGCACCACTGAACCACCGATGAGCCACCGGCGAACAGCTGCACCACTTGGTTTTTCGGGACGTTGGTTGCCCAACGTCGCCTTTTGATTAATTCGCGCGCTCATATTTGTAGTTGCCAGCACATAATTTGCCAAGGCCCAGAAAGCTTCGAGCGCTTTTTTTTTCGAGTGCCGTGCACTGAGAAAAAATAAGGAAATTATTTATCGCGATTTGGATAAATAATTAAAAGATAGGATAAGAAAGGAATATTAATGAATATTTTTATGACTCAAGTTAAATGTTGCATTTTAAAAAGCCTATAAACTTAAAAAATAACTTTCTGACAAAAGATATGATTTTCAAAATGCAATCAATTTTATAATTTAACATTACTTATTTTTTAATCTGGCTAAGATCTAATGAAAAGCCAATTTTATATTTATCCCATGATTAAAAAGAAAATATTTAGTTTAAAGGAAATTTTTATTTATTTCTAGTGATTTATGAAAGTGGTTAATTTTTTATTTTTTTCGGATTTCTGATTGGGTACTTTCAAAGCTTCAATTCATATTTAAAAGGAAATCTCATCTTATTATCTTCACATTTATTTTCCGTGTGCTGTTCATTTTCAATTTCTGCACCACGGAGGCAACCGCAGCAAAAATCGTGATTTGTACGGTTTGTTTTTGTGGCTCTGGCTTCGTTTTTTTTTCCCCTTTCCCCTCCCCCCAATTTTTTTGTGGTCAGTTGCAGTTGCAAGTTGGCAGTTGCAACATCGGCAATCGGCAATCGCCAACGCCATCAGCTGGGCGCACGTTTGGCCTGCATTTCCTCCTTGCTCGGATTACACTTGACGATCCGCTGGCCACCGATCACCACCGATCACCGCCGAGATCACCTGTCTTCGTTTTATGGGCCGCACGTTTAATGCCTTGCCTCCACAAAAAACAACAACAACAAAATAAAGGAAGAGGGAAAAATAATACTAAAAGTCGGCAGAATCCCATCTCTCCGTCGTTTTATTAATCGCACATGACCAGCTGATTTATGCGCAACTTAAAGCGCTGCCTTAAAAACATTTTATTATTATGATTATTGTGTGCGCAGCGCTGATTTTCACTCAGCTGATAAAGAGTTAACGCCCCATCAACAAGAGAGGTCGGCAGCAGTGGGTTAACGTTATATTTTCCCTTGAGATCGCCAAAGGTTCTCTTACCCGATCCGATTTAGAGCACAGTCGCAGACCAACCCGCTTCAGTCCAACACGAATTGCGGGGCCTGGGTTTATTGGATTTGATTTAAACCGAAAAACTTTCGCAATTCTTTTTGAGTGGCAGACAGATGCCGAGATGCAGAAATGCTTGGCTACCGTCTGATGGCTGTCGTTTTGTTTGGCTTTCGAGTTAGTTAGCGTTCCGGCAAAGCCCAGCCCATTCATATATTTCTTCAACAACAATAACACACACACACACACACACACACACATTTTTCATGCCATTTTCGAGGCGCCACCAGGCTGTTGTCTCTGCTGATTAGCAACGCCGGCTCGAAAATTGAAGATTTTTCCGGGGCTTGAAGCGAGGAGAAAAGTGACGAGATTGAGAGATTTCCACCGCAAATATTTGCCAGACTCATTGAGCTGTCCGCGGTAAGTTCGTTGTCTAAGTCTTTCGTTTGCGCGAAGCGAAGAGGTCCATTAGCAGGAGAAAAACTATTGACCAAATCAGTCAAGGTAAAGATCGGCATATATCTAGACATTGGATATGGAAAAATATTCTCCATAGAATAATAACACTTTTATTATTACTGAGAAATTAAAAAAATAAACTCATTCGAATTTTAAATTAACAATATTAAAAACTTAGGTGATAGTAAAAAGTGCACCCGATTCTGTTGAGAATCAGCCAAAAACTAAAATTCATAAAATATTTAAACTATTAATTTGTAAAAGCTTATTTTTCAAACAATTTGAAGTTAACCGTATTTAATTATTTTTCAACGATTTTTGATAAAAAAAAAATACATGCTCATTTCTTACCCCTATTAGATAGAAATTAAATTCATCAAATAATTCAACTTAATTGATATCAACAAATCGGCTTTTCCCTTTGTTTATTTTTAACTAGATTCTCTTTCCCTGCCTCATTGCCATCCATTCCCACTTCCTCTCATCTTCATATCATCACAGAAAACCTCGAGGCTCGTAAATTTGTCATTTTTATTTGGGCTTTTTGTTTTTATCTGGCTGCGTCGATTAGAAAATCACTTGGTAACTAATCTTTATGCAGGCGGCGAACGCATAAATTTGCCATATCTTACAGCCAGTCCAGTCTGCAGTCTCCAGTTTGCAGTCCAGTATCCCTAGGATTTGGATTTGGGCTCAGATTCGGATTCGGATTCGGGCTGGAACTGGCTTATTTTGTACTGATTTGTTTGCTAATACGTTCGCGCTGCCATAAATAAGTTTGATTTTATGCCCAGCGACTGGAGGAGGTCTTTTATAGTATGTGCTCGTGGTTGTGGTCCAGTCCCGGGGCTCTAGTCCATTGGAGCCGCAATTTATTTATATTGAGTGGAGACCTTATCGCGGCTGTAAGTAAAATTATGAAGTAATTCCGCGCTGCGCTTATCGCATTGCGTTCATCGCACATTACAAAACAACATTTACATAACTTTTGTTTGTTTGCCGTGGCAGTTTTAGTTTTGTTTGTGCCTGCCCCATTGCCAAATTAAATTCCCACGGCCGGGGAGGTCCATTTAATGTCCCATTCTGGGCCAGGTGACTCACCATTTGGCTGGCCATTTGGAATCCCAAATCCCAAAAGCCCCACGTGGCGATTATGTTCGCATCTCGAGGCACTTAAGTTCATTAAAAGAGATCTAAATAAACCAATAAGTCACGCCACGAGTCGAGGGGCATTGGGTTTCTATCCGAAAATCCCGCAGCAAAGTGTCAGCTGAGTGCCACTCGAGATCTCTTCGCTTCGAGGGCCCCCGAAATGTCCGAGAAAACCAAAACCAAACAAAATTTGTGCGTTTGTTCGCTGTATAGTACAAAATAATAAACAACACTCGCTTTGATGTTGGCTGAGATCTCGAGATTGAGATGGGAGATGGGTTCAAGAGACTAGGACAACTGCATGATTTGGGGGGGAAAGTTCGGGGATAAAGATGCAATTGTGCTTACAAAATGCTGAAATATTTTTTTCTAATAAAAACATTTCAGTATTAAGATATATACATAAAACCTTTAGTACGATTAACAAAATATATATATTAAAACAATTTTTTAAAAACACAAAATCTACAATATATTACTTTTTTAGCCAAATATAATTCGTAAAAATGTCCCAATCCCTTGGTTTTAAGACCCTTGCGAATCGCTGTCTTTCAGCACTGAAATCTCAATTCTGCACACCACAACCAATCCAATTGGATTATGTCCGTGGATAAACCATTCGATTCGCTCCATAAAACCTAGCTAGACAGCCAAAAAATGTCAAGATCACTCACAAATCTACAGCCGCAATAATTATTTCATTCAATTTCAATTTCAATTTGAACACGAATGTTTATGTTTATGTGTCGCATTCGAATTTTCGGAGGGGTTTATGGGGAGTCTGAATTAGTCATAGAGCGGTGCCAATAACAACGAATTTCGCATTCACCGGCCGGTGGAATTTTTTCGAATGTCTTTTTGGCTGGGTAACAAAAATGGTAATAGAAATCGCAAATAACAAAATACACAACATGCAAACTTGTGTAGCAAACTACTGCAGCTGCCGTTCTGTTGTTGTCATATTGTTATTGCCAAAAAAAACAATGAAGTATCAATTATATCTTAATGTTCGGCATAATATTTTCAGATCGTTTTTAGTTTTGAACTACGTACGCAGGAAAATAATGTGTCTTTCTTGATTTTTTTTTTCTAGAATTTATTAAAAATTATTTTAATTATTCTATATCTAAAGTATTTACCAAGCATATATTTCACATAATGTATATGTAAAATGCGACGTACTTATTATTTACTTATAATATTTTTGTAATATGTATAAGTAATTTATTCATAGAAACAGCATTAAATATTTTTAAAAATCCCTGAAACGTCCTTGTAATTTTTCCGTAAATGCTTTTCTACACTATACTGATCCTGAATTCTCAATTTCTGTTTTTTTCCAGGCGAAAAGCCGTACACCTGCCAGTGGCCCGAGTGCGAGTGGAGATTCGCCAGATCCGATGAGTTGACCAGACATTACCGAAAACACACGGGCGCCAAACCCTTCAAGTGCATCGTTTGCGAAAGGAGTTTTGCGCGGAGCGATCACCTGGCCCTCCACATGAAACGCCATTTGCCCAAGAACAAATGAGAAAGGTCACGCGGGGTCACGCGAGCCCAGCAAAAACAAAAAAAAAATCAACTATATCACAATCCAAAGGACTTTAGCGTAGATAAAATGAATTCGTTTAGTTGAAAGGTTAACTACTACTTGATAGGAACTGCTAACCAACTCAATTAACTCAAATGCGAAGTGTAGTAGTTTAAGTAAATGAAATTACCACCTGCTTAAAGAAAAAAAAACATCCTACAAAACCAACTAACCAACAATTCAGCACCACAATCACAAATTGAACTAGCATAATCTAGAGCTCTACTGTAAGTTAACATGTATAAACATATTCTTTAGATCTATAGTACAATAGATGTTTAATCAGAATTTTGAACATATAGTAGGTGTGTTAAGTGTAAACGTAATTCCATAAACTCTATGTGTATGTATATTGCTATCGCAGGTATTTTAGTGTCGTCGTAAACCGTTTAAAATCCACCAAAAAGTGCTGGCACAACAAGATCCAATAAAATATATTTGAAAAACCATTTGAAGAAGTCTTATGGCTTGGCATATTGATGGGTCCACTGGCGTGCAATTTCGTTGTGTTTTTCTGGGTCACGCAAATAAAGTTGGGCGATTTCCAGCTCCAGGGGATCGGCTGGATTCGGATCGGCCAGCAGGGACATGATGGAGATGAGTACCTTGGGCACGGACAGAGCCGGCGACCACTGTCCCTTGAGAATGTCCAGGCAAATGTAGCCCGATATCGTGATGTTGCAATGGAAGATCCTGGTTCGGAACTCAATGTGCGGTGGCTGGAATGGAAAGTTTTCGGGAAAGATAAGGTCCATCTTAAAGCATCCGCCTTCGTAGGGCGTGTCCGGAGGACCTGGAATGGTGGCTATCCAGTGAAAAAGGTTCTCGTCCACAAGTTCTGCTTTGCATCCGTCAACGGGTCCCTTGGCGAAAACATTAAACTCTTTTTTCAGCCTCGAAGTGGCAATTGCGTCACCTTGATTGGGCACTGTTACCAAAGAACTAGGCACTGGCATGAACAAAAGTTCTGGTTCCATGGGTTCATTAAAGGGTACGCCGCCAAGACGATGCGGAGTAGGAGCACGATTTGCGATTCTCACACGAGGAGGGGTCCTTAGAGGAGTAGACCTTGGAGGAGATGAAAAGGTGATACTAGGCCTCCTCCTCGACCTGCCCCTAGATGCTTGGGCATTTGGAGTGCGAACACGATGAAGTCTATTTTCAGAGTTTGAATTGGTTGGCAAGTTCACTGCTGCAGCAGCATTTGCTTCCTCTCGGCGCCGTATACGTTCGCTTCGTCTTGCTGGCATTTTCTTATATTATAATATAATGTAGACCTAAAAATTGGAAAATCAAACAATTACTAAAACAAAACACCTTCAAAACTTACCTCTCAAATTTATAAACGAGTAAATAAAGGCAGCTGACTGCTAAATGCATGACCTACTCTTCAACTTTTTGAGGGCCTAAAAATCCTTAATACTTTAAATTTTCTTCATGAGTTGTCACCAAATTTTATTGCATTTAGGGGATTCCATAATAGACAGATATTTATTTTAGCTGTTTTATACAAATTAAACATTCAAAACTTTAAGCTAAAAAAAAAAATAAATAAAAAACGTAAGTTTAAAACATAATCAATTTTACTTTATGTGATTCAAATTATTAAGCAAATATTTTGATTGATTAAAAGTGTTAGCAATTGCACCACCATAAAATCGTAATGAACTGAGCAAAGTATAAGCTCTAAAAACCTAGTTCAATTGGAAATTTAATATGTTTACACTTTATATTAAATAACAAGTTTTTGGCTTTAATGCTATTACTATCTAATTACCATTTAAGTATAGAGTAAAGCCAAAATTTTGTCTGACAAAAATAGTTAGAAAACGAATAATTATTATAATTTCCTTCACTTCATTTTTATTCAAGCTATTTATTTATTTTCGCTGTGTTAAGTATAGGTGCTTATTGCTGCGTGACTGTACTTTAGCTTAAAAGCTTATTCTATTAGCAATTCCCTGCTTGATTTGTTTGTCACTTATTTATTGCAATTGGCTGGACTTTAAACAATTATTAACATTTCCCCCATACGTGCCTGGCAAGGCAAACACAACTCACAAATCACAAATCACTGAAAGTTTTCCCCGTTCGAGATCTATTCGAAACTCTCCACACGTCACAAAGGCAGTCATAAGTTTTTCTATCTATTTTCGACAAAAAAAAATGACAATAATTTCATTTAGATGAGAATGTAAACCCGATCAGTGTGACTGTGACCCCATGCCGAACGAAATGTCTTGTGGAATTCAATTGGGTTTTATTGTACTGGGCTCTTGCGATCATTATCAAAGTATTTTGTACACGAAACAAACATGTCAAGCAAATGTGTTTTTGCTCCCCTCCCTAAAACCCCCCAAAAAAGAGACCCAAATAAATTGTTAAAAATAACAATAATAATTTCAATTGTCTGCCTGCATTTCGATTCGAACGCGTCATGTTGTTTTGATTGGAGCGATGATAAAAATCATTTCGCTTTTGCTCCTTAAAGAGGGTACACATTTATAGGGTAGAGTTCAGTTACTAAGCGATCCTTTCGTGGGGAACCTGTTTGACTTATCATAAATTTATGAAACATTTAAAGCAATTAATTAGGGGATTATATGATTTGTGGGCTGGCTGAGTATGAAGTTAGATATTTATTCAAGCATTTAAATTTAAAGGTTAACTAGGTACCTAAAAGAAAATTTTCAAGAGCTGTTTAAAACTATTAAAAAATTTGGAGTAAAAAGTTATAAATTAATTCCAACAAAAAGGAAAGCTTAGTAACATTGAAATTCAAAAAAACAGATATCTGACTATTAATTTACAAATTGTACAAATAAAATTAAAACTTAATACTAAAACTTAACATTAATACAATGCCTATTAAATTGCTTGATTTTGTATTGAAATAATTAAATTAATTGTTAATTTAATTAATTAATTTAATTTCAATTAATTAATATTATTATTTAATTAAAATATTATATATAAAATAGTTCCTAATTAATTAAAAATCATTTTATATAATTCCAATATTTTATTTTAGTTTGCAGATATTAAAATCAATTCCGAAATAAAAATACAAAATTTTTAAATATTTTTAATATTTTGATCTTTAAAATAACTAAAATCCACGATGGAAAAAATCAAATCAATACATTTTTAAACTGATTACCATCGAAACCTTCTGAATATAATAATATACAATAATATAACATACACAAATAATTTTTTTTAATGATAATATATTATATATTATATTATTTTTAAAACAACATCAGAGAAATGGAATGCCATCCAAACTAAAATGCAGAACGTCCCTCTCAAACCTATGATTTTTATTGGGATAGGTAATTATGATACCATAGCTTTTTTTCAAAGTGTAATACCAATGTTTATGAGTACTCGATTATGCGCTTCACGTGGGCGTTGAGACATTGGCATGCCCCCATTCATTCATCGCAGCATCTGAGCATCCACTGGCACATCCCCATCCATCTGTACCCACATCCCCAACCAGATCCACATCCATATCCATCCAGTGCCATTCCAGCACCACTCTTCAATTGTGCTGCGTTTCGGGCTGATTAATCATTTGGCGACTGACAGCTCAACTTTGCGGCCACAACGGGGCAACCCGCTTATTAAATTGGCTTAAGATCGCCGGATAAACCTAAAGTACGTGTAGGAATGGGACCCCACAACTGGATATTATGCATACGAGTATAGTATAGCACATCGCACAAAGGTTTTTTGTCTACAGCACCCACTTGGCCATATGGAATACAAAGCCTCATGAAATTGATTCAGTTTTGAGCCAGATCGCAGATGTGATAAATCTTATGATTTCAATTAATTTGTGAGCGAAAAGCGAGGGGCAGTGGAAGTGCACTCATTATGCCAACTTGGTTAATGTGTCAGTGGAGTTTATAATGATATACACAGAATATGTTTTAATTTGCAGCTAATTAAGCCCAGCTCTGAACTGTGATTGATTCCGAGCGAATCGACAGGGAATTGTGAATAGCGAATAACAAATGAATGGAAATGAATGAGATGTTCAGCGATTCGAAAGGTGATTCAATAATTAAGTACTCCACTTCCTTGTGGGTGGATTTTTATATTTTTAATACAAAAAAACGGCATTGCCTAGCCTTAAATTGTTTATTTTTATGTAACTACAATGATTGCTCTTCATGTCGTATTTATTTATATTTATTTGACTGACCTGAAAAAAAAATCAGTTCTGTTAGCTAATAGTTAAAGAAATTGTTAACTATCAATCTTGAATACTTGTCAAAAAATTTAAATTTAAGGGTTGAATTAAGCATCGACCTATCAACCTATCGTCAAAGTTTAAGTTCTATTCTGATATTCTCACAATTATATAAAAACTAAATTTTATGTTGGTTAAATGCTTTTATGTATGTAATTTTTAACTGTTTGATATCAACAATATTAACACGTGACTGCCACACACAAAATCATTAAAAATCTACAAGATGTCCCCTTATTTCATGGTTGTTAACATTTCCTACTTCCTCTACCACTAACATCAATTTGGTAACACCTTTTACTTTCGTTTGGGCCACGAGTCCAGCTGCCGCAACACCCACAGTGACTCAAAAAAAAACTCCCACATTCAGACATACTGTATATACTGCAACTCCTGAGCAGGCTCATCCATTTTAAGCCGGGCCATAACATAAAAGCGCCCATTAGCCAAATGGGGGAGGACCCCCCCCGGGGTTTTATTTTTCCAGGGGCGTAGGGGCGCAAAAGGGGGGCAGCAGACGCCATCACTCGTGCCCGTCTGGTAATCGTGACAGACATTTGGCCAGAAGGCGGAGCAGGGGGATATGGCCATCCAACATCTACCTGGGCACAGCAAAAAAATGTTACTTCTTTCAATATCAATTTTATAATTTTCCAAACAAAGTTATATGCGTAATTAAAATATGAATTAAAGTTTTTCAGATATATAGAACATTAAAAAAACTTCCGACATCGCATTCTTGATAACATATCTTTGTAACAATAATTGAAATAAATATAATATATAATATATATATATATATATATATATATATATATATATATATATATATATATATATATATATATATATATACATATAAATATAATATATATATATATATATATATATATATATATATACATATAAATATAATATATATATATATATATATATATATATATATATAATATAAATATATAATAAAGAGCACACGTTTAAATAACCCGTTTTTAAAAATTAGATAAACTCAAATATATTAAGGTGATTAAATAAAGAGTATTTTGTTAAATTGGTCCTTCAATGCCGGATCCTTGCACCACTTTTCTCAGCGTGCACCTTTTTCAACCACCGAAATCGAAAACCGAAAAACGGAAAAGCGCGAAACAGGAACCGCGGCTAACTAGTCTGCCAAGTTGGCCTGCTCTACGGCAAAATGGTAAAATGGCAAGACTTTTGGCCAGACGTGCGCCTGCTTTGCATACAACAATATGCGACAAGACACAAGACAGCCGAACACAAGACAAGCGCTGGCTAAAAACGGCGACAACTATAATTAAGCTTAATTGCTGTTTAGTGCGAGTCGGGGCAAGTTTTCGCTACAATAAATATATATACGAAAAGAGAGACAGACGCCCACGCACCACTTCACGTATAATTAAATTAAATTTATAATGCGAATCTCAACGCGATAAATAAGCCTAACTAAGTGTTTTTCGGGGCGCAAGGGGGGTGTGGCTCCAGATATCTGGGTAATTGAAAACTTAAAGCGCACTTATCGCTCACTCTTATTGTTTTTCGTGTGTCGTGGAAATTAATTAGCAATTAAAAATGCAGCACACAGCGATCGGTGGTTAAACAACAATGACCGGGTCGGGTCTCTCTCTAATCTGCTGGGAAATAATTCATATTTATAAATAGACAAACATTATTCAAAGTGTCCGAGCGGGAGCCCGTGGCCCGAGAACCGTAAATTAAATCAAAATCAAAATGAAAACGATATGGTCTTATGCCCAGAATTTATAACGAAAATAAAAGTCAGAACACAGTGAAATCGAAAACACAAAGAAGGGAAAATCAAGGTGGGGCATATCCGACAGGGCAAGCTACCTTATTACAACTGATCATTATAATAGAATAATGTTGTTTTAGTTATAGTAAGAAAAAAAAAAACTGTAATGCTAAAAAAATATAGAACACCCTCAAAAGTTAGCCAATGATTCGCCTTAGCTCTGAAATTTTCCCAAATTCTTAATTGCAGAGTTCATAAATCTCGTTCTTATAAACCCATCCCTGATATTAGTTTATATCCAATTCAAGACACCCTTAGAAAAGGGTACTCAAAGCCATTTGGCCAGTGTCCGCCCACAAAAAACCGTTGTTGCTAGCAGTTGCAAGTTGGGAACTTGGAGGTTGGGAACTTGGCCGCTGTCCGATGGTCTTTCTTGTCCATTTTCTGGGCTTTTCGACCCGGCTTGTGACTCAATGCAGCTGCAGTTGATCGACCGATCGATCCATGGCAACTGCAAACTGAAAATAGAAAAAACAGAAAAATAAGAAAACAAAATAACAGAAAACAGAAAACGGCTGCTGCATTTGGCAATGAACTTTTCGCAGCGAAAAAAAGACAAAAGTCTAGACTGGAAATGCGCTGGCAAAAGAGCCTGAGCCTGACTTTGAACTCGGTCAAGTCGAGACACATTTGCGAAACTGTTTGCATATTTAATTGAACACCTACAACAACAATAAATGAGCTGCAGCTGCGGCGAAATCGCTTTTTCGCAATAATAAGCATAAGCATAATAATAATCAGGCGCAAACAGGCTCAATGGGCCAAAAAGTGGCCAACGGGCGAATAAACTAAGTCGTGCTTGGCCAAAACTAATGACCATATTTAGCACCAAGCGCTGGCAATCCTATCCTTTGGCAGCCTTGGCAGCTTCAGTGTTGCAAAGTGAGAGGATCTGACACTTGGGCTGACAACACTAGACTTTTAAAGGATTTTTACACAATCTGACCTCTTATCTGCGTTTTTTTTTTTGGTTCAAATGGTGGTGTTGAACAAACATTTCAGATTTCAAAACAAAATAGCAAGATTATTTTTATGGACCCTTTTTATTGGTTAAATGTCAACCAAAGGATTTGCACATGTAAGAAGCCTTTTGCACTCCATTCCAGTGTTGTAAGGTGAGCTTTTGACAGTAATGACTGCACTCCATTCCTGTGTTGCAAAGTGAGCCTTTGTCAAGAGTTTTTATCTTGAGGCGTAGTGACAAGTTGACGGACGTCAGTAAAAATTCTACAAAATTACAATATAAAATCTTAACTAATTTTAAATAACATGACCGAGGGAACAAGGCGCAGTGAACGCATTCGTCGCATCCAATTGGAGAGATCCATGGCCTCCGAAGCGAACCCGAATCCTGCAGGTCAAGGGACCCGTGCCCTCTTCGTTGTGGCTAATTTTGCGCCACCTCCTCGTCAAAGGCGTTCCAGACGTTTCGTACCCCAGCTGGAAATTATCTCCGATCCTGAGCACACAAATCGCACCATCTTCATGCCGCTGCACTTGTCCAACCGCCGGAATAGGAATCAAATGATAAGATCCGTCCTGTTGCCTGTACCAGAGAATCCGCCTTCTGCGCCTCAACGCGTTCGGTACATTTCTGTAGCAAACTGGAGCTTTAACAACAACACCACGTTGGAAAACCGTGGAGTACTCTTGATGGTCATGCTCGTAGACCCTTCGCTGGATACCGAAATGCGCCGCCATCGTAGTATAGTGATTTCCACCATCCAACGCATTGCCGCCTACTTCCTGTTCTAATATCTACTTTTATGGAAGAAGAATGAAACATTGTAACATTATTTTGTTCAGAAATGTCAATATATTTAAATAACATGTTTTACAACGACGGCACGGAGTTAATGGACTAACAATTTTCATAATTTCTACCAATTTTACAAATTGTAGTTAAATTGACTAGTAAACTATGCAAATTGTATTTTCTTTTCATATTCAAATATACATATGTTACCCCAATTTATAACATTTTGATTACAGACAAATTTGACTTCGACTTTTAGGTATTCAAGCCTTTCTTTAATAAGTAGGTGTATATTTCGACAAATTTTTAAACTGAACTGTATGCAATATTTTCCAATTTCACAATTTTTCGAAAAATACCTAAACGATTTGCATCTGCGAGTGCGGTGGCACAATGAACAATCGCTTCCCGAACATCACTCTTCATATGTCACGCGGATTGTCGTTTATGAGCTGCAGATACACACAGATACAGATACTCGATACTTGCCCCCGGATGCCCAATGCCCAATGCCCGATACCCGTTGCCCGTACTCAATGATTAATTGTGGGGCACGCGACGAGGCGATGCCAATCGGTTGCCCCAAGTGACAAAAATCAATGCAACTGCAAATGTGTGAGATGAGCAAGTGCGGCAAAGGAGCGAAAGGGGAAATGGAATGACAGGAGCCATAAATCTTGGTCTCGACCCCAGATCCCAGATCCCATACCCCAGAAATCAGAAATCGGAGATGTCACGGGGCGACTGGTGCCCACACAGAGTCATCTTATCGGGGGCCAACTATCGGGTCTTCTGGGGAATGTACTCTGTACTCGTACTCGAAATGTCTGGGCATCGAAACGGAAGTTGGCCACAATCAATCTCAATTAAACTGATGGCTACTGCGCTGAGGAGTCGCCTTATTTGGCTTATTTATTCCTCGAAGGGCATGTAATGAGCGCAAGGTATTTACAAAGGTGGTTAAGATTTTATTTTATTCTGTTATACAAAGTAAGTTGGTAAGGCAATGTATAGAGCTGCAATTTTCCTTGTTATTAATCTAAATTTTTTTAATACCTAAAAATAAAAATCAATTTTATTACAAATATTTGACATTTTTAGTTTTATTTTGCGCATACATTTGTTTTTCTTTTCCTTTTTGAATTCTTAGATAACCTTAATAGATATGTTTCAATTTATAATTATTACATTTAAGCATACACTTGTTTGTCTTTCTTTTTAAAATCTTTCAGAATCTAAACAGTGATGTTTAAATTAAAAATTGTATAAGTTACGAACTTATGGCATATTTTATTATTAATTTAATTTAATCTTAATTTTATTAAATTTAATATATAGTTTTATTAAATGGATAAAAGACTTTAAGACAGACTTAAAAAAATAATTTTAAGAAATAATATTAAAATGACACTTCTTTAGGATCTCTGTTCATAGTATTGTTTAGTATTAATTTACCCAAATAATACATGCAGTAGTTCCGTTTATAATGACCTAAAAAAAACTCTTTTAATTTATACCATCTGATGCCATAACTTGGGCCCAAACAACACCTTTGCCACATTCGAGTGACAATCTAACACTCGTAACTAGCTCTTTAAATTGCGCACATCCGCTAAAAGAGCTGCAAAGGAGCCGCAATAATTTACAACAATATAGCGCGAATAAACGCGAACAGGGGCGGGGAAATAAGGGGGGATATTGGCCATAAACTGAGCCAAGAGCACGCGTAATTTGGCCAAACATTTCCATTTCCATGCAAATGGCAGCTAGCGAGCGGCAAATCAGCGCCCATGAAAGCAATCGCAATTGCGTGTTGCACAATCGTTGTGAGTTGCAAACAAAAAGAAGAAAAAAAAAGAGTAAACTAAAACAGACGACAGACAACCTGCAGCCTACACAACCCCGAAGAATCGAGAACCCAAAGCCCAGAGAACATGACATCAAATGGCAAACAAAGACCAATTACATGGAAGAAACAAACTTAAAGACAACAAGAGAAGGTTGCCGGACGAAAGTGGAATTTGCAAGTACTCTCCATAAAGTTAAAAAAAGGGCTTCTAAGGTTTATAAGTATATAATTATAAGTAAATAATATATTGGTACTAGAACTTTGATTTAATTTAAAGATTATTGGTGCTTTTTCAGAAATTAAAATGACTACAATTATTTCGGTTTGTAATCAAAAATATTCTTTACAATTTAATGTTTTAATTTTTTAAAATAAAAAAAGAAGAAAATGGCATATTTTTTTTTATTGTTATATTTTGGTTAAATTTATATGATAACAATAAATTGTTGGTAAAATTTAAATTATTTCCTGCAATGAAATTTTGTATATATTCAAAGACAGGAAAAGAATGAAAATAAACTACAAAATTATTTTACACGATTAAATCATGTAAATTAAAGATCAAGATCAACCAAAATATGTGACATATTTTCTTTTATGTTAAGTCTTGGTTAAATTTATATGACTATAATAAAATGTCGTTAAAACTCAAATTATTTCTTACAAATAAATTTTTTAAATATTTAACAAAATAAAAAAAAAAGAAATAGATAAATAACAAAATTGCAACTATGATAATTTCTAGATGGTAATTCAAAATCCCCAGCAAAATAGCTTAACCCCGGACAACAAAGTGTCGTAAAGAACTCCAAACACATGGCACATGGGCGGCCAGGCGAAAAACATTAGCCGAGAAAAAGAAAAATACAAAACCGGGGCCACATTAAAGCCCACGAACTGACTCACCGTGGAAGATGCGTTGGTCGTTGGATTTGCAGGCGCAGTTTTAGTTCAAAAACCCGACTTTTGAGTCGGCATCGACTGTTGCATGCTAAACGTTGCTAAATTCAAGAGCGACCAACATTTATCACACTACGCCTATCGCGTTTTCTGGTTTTCTAGCCCCTTTCCGTCGCTAATTAATGATAATGTCAGGAACTAATATGCAAAGGGACTACAACTGTTTGCCAGTTTATCATCAGTTAACGTTTTCATTAACCATATGTCACACGCACGTCCCTCGCATTTTCTCCCATTTTCTCGCATTTTCCAACCCCCATTCCATCCCGCGGATCCTTGAAATTAAATTATGCGCTCGGGGTCGCGTGTCCTGCCACGATTTCTGACCAACTTCGGATGACTCAAAATACATAAAAATGCATGCACACACTGGGGGAAAAATGCATCGGAAAAGTTTAGAATGTTTGTAGTTCAGTAAGTCAGTAATATCAGTTTTGAAAAAATATATTAGATATTAGATAATAAAGAAATTGGTAATTAACATCTAACACGTCAGAAAAGTAAATTCATTTTTTAAATTATTTTATTTTATAAATAATTTAGTAATTTAGTTTAATAGGATACAATTAACATTATGTCTGCATTGTATACTTTTATCAAAGTCATTAGCTTATCCTTTGATTTTACAAATTCTTCTTTATTCCACCGTTGTTTTTTAAACCATTTCTTTCAGTGTTCAGCCTGCCTTCCTTTCAGATGGCATTCCCATTTCACATAAATATTTCGAGGATCCTTCGCTACAGTTTCGGACAGTTGGCTCGTGTCCCGGTCTAAAAAAGGTGTTAAAATTGTGCCACAAAATTGTTTGACCTTTGGGGTTGTTTTTATGACCGTCTGACTTTCCGATGATGGCACATGGATATGGACATGTACCCATGGAACTTTGCAACTTGGGAACTTGGGAACCCCCATCCAACTCCGATTTCACTGCCAAATGATTACGCCGCATTTTGTCGACACAGAAGTTTATGTTATTTTATGAGGCGCGTGCCGGTCGACTTGAAAGGTGGGCAACTTTTTTACTTCAACGAGGCACGCAATATTCAAACTCAGGGATACTAAATACACATATTCCTTCTGGTTAAAAAAACTGTGAAGAGCTGAATAATTAAATGGGAAATAAGTGGTGAAGAAAATCATGTTGATTTGAAGAGGTTTCAGTAGCTTTTATATGCTAAAATATAAGACTTTATTTTTATAGCAACGATGAATTTAAAAAATAACTATGATTAAATTATTACTTTAACTGTGAATAAATATTTGGAATATGTGATTGTTATACAAGGTCTTTATTCTTTATCGTTGGTTAAAATAATGCTTGGGTTAGGTGTTAAGCAATTAAAATATTATATATATATACATAATTAAACCCTTAACTAACGATAAAAAAATTCAACTTTCTGAAAGCTTTGGCTATTATAGAGGCTTTTTTTATTATCGGCATTTTGTAAAATAAATAAGAAACTAAGATAATTAAAAAGTTTGCTAAGTAATAAGGTAAATTTATATAAGGATTTGAATTTGATTTGGTTGTAATTTGATGGCAAACAATGGGATTGGCGCAATCTTTTTAGGGGCCTCCCCCGTTGGACCTCTTAACCCTTGCGGCACATTTAACCCACTAAGCCGGTAACCCAGTTTCCACACAAAACAACCGACCGACCGAAATCCCAATTTTGCACATCACGCCGCCGCGTACTTCGCCTTCAATTAGCCCAAGAAACTCACGCGCCAAAATTGGCAGTCTTTATGGTAATGTTGCGTAATCGCTGGATTACCTTATACCTGATTGATGGATTGATCCGAGATCAGAGAGCCATTTGGATACTCGCAGATACTCGTAGGCTAATTCAATTGCTTTATAATTGAACTAAGGAGGCGCGACGACGGCCCACTACGACTCCAATTCAGTTTGGAGCGCTTTAATGAGCTGAAACTCCAGGTCCGAATAGCCAAACACACACATGCCGCACTCAGCAGGTTTCTCAGCTTTTCAGTTTTCGAGCCAAGTTAATAATCTAATGGACACGTTGTAATTTTTTCCATATTCGAAATTGCCCAATAATCGATTCATCTGATTCGATTTGGACTTGGCGGCCACAATTGAAAATGAAATTTAATGCCGAATTAATGTGGGGAGTTTGTTGTGAAGTCTGTTTTTTGTTTTTTGTTGAGGGGAAGTGATGATGC